TTTATTTATTTTTAAATTTATATGCTGCCCATCTCTCCCAGAGGGTGACTCTGGGCAGCTTACAATTAAGATATTGTATCTGAAGAGATATTCAGATGCCATGATGTGTCAGTTCAGAATCATGCAAGCAAAGGTTTTCCCTGTGACATAGTATAGAAAAATCAGAATAAAGAGAACATTGACATTTTTGAACTTTGGTGTTGGAGAACATTCTTGAGAATACCAGGGTTAGCCAAGAAAACAAACAAAGATCATACAACAAATCAATCCAGAATTCTTACTTGAGGCACAAATGACCAGGTTCAAATTATCATATTGTAGTCACATTATGCAAAGACCTAGCTCTTGAGAAGTCTAGAGTGCCAAGAAAAGTGAACGGAAAGAGGAAAAGAGGATAATCATCAACAAGGTAGATGGACATAATTAGAGTAAAGGACCACACTGGGAACAGATCACCCTGGAGAATATACATCTATGTGGTCACTAAACGTTAACACAGATTTGATGGTGCATAATCAATCAGTGGATACATCAAAGATAGTTTGCAAGGATAGAAATGTATGAAGATTAGATTTAGCTCTATTCTATTTCATTTTCATTTCCTTCTCTCATCCGTTTAATATCTTTGGCTTGCTATTTCTTACACCCTTTTTGTGCTTTGTATAACATTGCACAATGGATATGTTTGCATGCATATATGTGTCTGTTTAACAGTCATTACATCAACAAGAATTCTAGACTGTAAAATGCACTTTACCAAGCCTGGGATTCTTTGCAGTGGATGGAAGTTTTGATAGTTTAAATAATGTATCTATATACTATTAAAACTGTCATGTCTGTAACCTTCAACTGGGCAAAACCGTGTGTCATAGGGCAACAATTTTTGAACCAAGGTACCTTAGATGGGCTAACTTACAGAATGCATCCAAAATCCAGGATCCATTACTCTGTGGGATTGACATTTGGGAAATTTGTGGCCACTTCAGCACTGCTGTGCTGCCGCACTGCCACTGTCAGCCCAGGTCACATGATTGTCATGGGCATATCCCCAACCTCTTTCCTGCCTCCCTCTGTCCCCTGTACCCTATCAGCTGGTGGCAAGGCCCGACAGACAAGCAGCAATTGGCTGCTTTGGAAACAAGGCAGAAATTTGAAATTTCTTAATGGTGATTGGTGTTGAGGGAAGGAAGTGAGGGATGCCTGCTGGTGAGGTAGGGCTGGCTGGGGGATGCCAGTGGTCGACAGGTGAGCCGTCTTCCTCCCTTGAGGGAAGGGGCCCTTGAGGACATGCCAGAATGTCCAGTTTTCCTCGCAGTCTTATATGTGGAAAGGGAGGGAGGAAGGAAGGGTTTCTGACATTTCTGCTAGCTTCCCATAAGCAAAGTCATTGGGGAAGCCAGCAGCAAGTAGTAAGTTGCTCACACTCCCACTGCTTTTTTGCCCTTGGTTATTCTGTTTTTCTGTCTAGGTAAGGAAATATCTCTGAAACGATGACCCAACAGGTCACAGGTTGTCTATTATATCATAAGACTCATTTATATTACAATTTGTTTAAAATTAATTAACTACAAAAAATGCTTCCATAGGTCATAAGGCATGATTTTTAGAGCAAGCGTATTAGCTAGATTGGTCTATACATTGTAGAATAAAAAGTAGGTCATTGCATACAATTGTGCTTGTATAATAAACTAAAACTTTTTATTTCAATGTACACTATAATACATTGCAGTACCATTAAAAGCCAATAACTATTGATAATTTTAAAGTACTTGAACCAAACCACCTGTGATTAGCCGAGAGGATTTTCCTTATTCTTGAATAATAAAATTTGTTTTAACACAAATATTGAGTACATAGAAAGTGCATTTCAAATAGTAATTAATATGGCCATTTTTATATTCTGTATATAAAACTACAGAGTTCTTCAGATTTATAATTCTTGAACAAAACAGACAAAAAACATACATATTTTAAATATGTTAACATCCTTAATGTTTTGTCTCAAATTAGATATTCCAACCTGAGTATGTACTTTATGTTAAAGCTAAAGGCACATATGTAGTTTTTCCTGAGTATTGTTTCATGCCATATTGCATCACAGAAATAAGAATTCTTCCAAAGGGTCCTTCTCACAATATGCAAAGATGTATCAAACTGGAGAAAGGATAAAAGGCATCTAGTATATTGGGGAGGGACAGAGGAATCACCACTACTGATTGCTTCTTACTTGTGCTAACATACAGCACAGGTAAGCCTATGCAGTATAAGCTCTGCCCTTCAGCTAAGATGGCAATATCCTACTCCGCAAGAATTAGTTCTCTAATTGACCATTGCTCTAATTGACCATAAGCTAGTAGAGCTGGGCTGCAAAAATCCAGGCCGCTAGAAGTCAGCAAAGCAAAGCTGCCAACTGATGGTTGTCTAGATTTTTGCATTGCCTCTTCTGGTTGGAAAGACGCATCCAGTCTAAATCTAATTTATAGATAAAAAGCCCTTGATATAAGAGCAAGGGCCTTACATTTCATCATCAAAAGTCAAGCAGCAGATCATGACTGTGTGCCTGTCTGCTCAATTTCCTCCAATCGGTTGAGATGAATTTTAGTTCTAATGAAATTATCATAATTATTTCTGAAACTGCATTTATGCAGATTCATCAGCATTTGCAACATACTTACAAATCCCTTTCCTCTTATTTTGGTTCTGGATTTCTCATTTTTGGCAGAAAAATGATCAACTATTTTCAGAAGTGTTCAATATTCAAATGTACTCTTAACTGTGATGTGTATATGTGCAGCAAAGTATTTCTGATGCAAGAGCACTATTATGCGATAGTCACAGCTACATCTTATCCCTGTATTAAATGCCAACGTTATTTCATAAGACAAAAAGATAAACACATAAGTATGCTACCCTTCCTCTGAGAAACTCAAGACTATGCATGTTTTGTTCTTCAAACAAATCTGTGAGGTAAAGTAGTATAAGACATATAGTTTGAGTTCACACATCATACCAAACTATGATTTGCTTTAATCATAGTTTATTGAATAAGGCACAGTGGCCTCCTTCTCACAAAAATCTAAGCCATAAACAATCACTCACAAAAACTATAATGGGTAGTTTCATTCAAGGGCTGTGATTTAGAGCAATATGTGAACAAGGTCTGTGGAGATGCTTGGAAGAGGGGCTTTCTAATGTACTGGAAAGCATCACTGACTCCTTAAAGCAGCCTGTGGGGAAATGCCATTCTATAAATCCAGTATGCTGGCCTTACTTCCAGATGTCCCTTGGGAGATGTTCATAGGAGGCACAGAAAAGAAGATGTGGCAAAGCCATGAGGCCATCAAAATGGTACTGGATACAACATAGCATCATGCAAATGCCACCAATTACATGCTTGCATCCTGAATATGTAATTTGCACCATTTGCTTGGTGAAGGTGACTCAGGCAATCCTGTAGATGCCCATGGCTGGGTAGGGCGGGGGCAGGGGCAGGGGGAGAGGAGCTGCAATTGACAGTTAACAGTGACAGATGGGGAGAGAGTCTGGCTGGGAAAAGGCACACAGAGTAGAAGCTCTTTGTAAGTATAAAATACAAGGGGAAAGAAGGGAGCCTGATATTTAGGCTGGGACAATATCTGGAGCAGATTTCCCAACTGGAGTACTCACTGAAACACAAGCATCTGGAACAAGCCAGAAGGATGTCACATTACATAATTTGCCTCAGTGAGTGGTGGCTCACTTGATGTCACTGCCCCTGCCCAGATGCCCATGAATTGAAACTTAAAGCATGCCCTATGCAGTTTAAGAAATCACTTGTTATTAAAGTTATTAAAGTAAGTGGGCAGTATATGGGTGTAACCTCTGAGCTCTGTATAAAGAAGCATGGTATTCTAAACAAGCTTACCACCCTACAATACTGCAAAGATATGTTAGCATGAGGAGAAAAAGGGGTAAATCTGTTTACAAATAAACATTCTTGGTTTGTTAAAAACTCATTGTCATCAGTCAAACCCTCCTCACATCTTGTAAAGCTATACTAATCTGTGAAAAGCATCTATTATATGCAATAACATTGATGACAGGCTTTTATAGTTTTATACAAATATTTCCAACCAACTTTTCACAAAAAATACCAGCTGTGACCCTACCTGACAGTTCTTCATAAGCCCGTGCTTTGTAAGTTCTCAGTCGGTATGCAGCATCATTTTTTGTGACACACATAAAAAAGAGGTGGGCTGGCTCAGCCCTATCTTGACTTTTTTGATACATACACACACATACTGCGGGTGCCCAGCACAGGTGCTTTAATGACCTGGAGAAAGCTGCTTCATACGATTTCCTGCATGCTGTGAAACACCTTTGCCAAAGGATTTGCACAGCCCTAGTTCACACACTGCTTTAAACCAAATCCATAAAAGGCTATTACTTGGCATAATGTGTGAACCTAGTCAATCACTTCTCCAAAGTTTGCATAAGCTTCACAGCAAAATAGGGATTTGAAACATGACCTGAGTCTTCTATGCACTGAATGGATTCAAAGTAGAAAGCATCTGAAATATATGTTGGCCTTATATATTTTTCTTCTTTTTATAAAAATAAGCCAACTCTGTTGCAGGTAACTTTCACGTACAAAGTAATATATACAGCAATTTGGTGACATCATTATTTGCTGAAACAAAATATCCCTACTCTGACTTTTTGTATCCTTTGATAATAAATAATTATAAAAATAAAAAAGGAACAAAGCAATAGAGCTACAAATATAATTTTGGAATCTACTCTAGAAATTCTTCTTTATATTTATAAATAGTTTTAATGCATAACTGATCCATTTTACTATTTTAATATATATCCAGTTTTCTGTTGCATTTAGATTGCATCTGGCTTTTGAAAAATATGTGGACATTTCCCAGTTTATCCAAGAGCAATGAAAGTGTAGGTCCACCATCTATTAACGGCCAGGATTGATTTTCATTTGAGAGTGTCACTGCTACAATGTCATCTGTTTCTACTTCAAGCTTGGGAAAAATAATGCCATAATGGAAGTTTCATAAATTAATGTCAAGATTGTATAGGTCTAAATAATACAAAAAGCAAAACCATCAGAGACTAGAAATACTAAAATAGAAAGTGAACTATGAGAAAATGTTTCTGCGGAATTAAATTTCATCTTCTGACTCCTGTTCTCGCTCAGATGTTTTCAATAATCCAATTTCCATAGATGGGACTTGCATTATTTTGGTACGAACCACCCTGGAGAAGAAAAGTTAAAAGAACAATTCATGCTAAATCATCACACATTCTAAGCCAATCAGTGATGAAGTGTAGGGCTGGTTATTCTTAAATGAGACAGCACATTGAAAGTTAAAAAAAAATAACTCCTGATATTCCATCTATTTTTCCAATATTTAATCCTCTTTTTCTAAAGTTTCACTCTATTATATTACTGCGTGACCAAGAAAATAGAATAGATATTGATATTACATGGATAAATGTACCCTTCATTCTTAATGGCTGACATCACTAGGCTATTATGTCCAACGGCATCTAGTTTAATATATTTCAATCTGTGTCAAGCAATATCAATCTATGATATATGAAATCTAATGCATGGCTCAGTTTGTGGCCTCAGTATGTTTTTTTCCTCTGAGCCTGTATTCTAATCAGAGATTTGCAACATGTTGGGAATATTAGGTTATAAAACAACGACAATAAAAATGATAGGCATAATCAAAACCTTTGCCTTCCTCACTTATAAATGATAAGTTCTTCCAAATCTGTGTGCTGAGCTGAAGGATTACATCTAAACAGATCTCAGAGAATAAGCAGGCTAACTAAAAGACTCTCAGGGAGAAATTAAGGAGGTGACATTCTCCCAGCACTAATATGAACAGCTTTTATATAACTGTGCATATGGACATATGTACTTTATTTGTTTCTTGCAAGGTTATAAAGGAAGCATCAAGGAACAATTATGCATTTCAAAACCCACAGGCTGAATGGAGATGCATCTGTAGGTCACTGCACTTTTTCATCCCTCCCCAGCTGGTGGACCCATTTTTGAATATATGGAGATTTTGCTGTGAAGAATAAAATGTGAAATTCTTGACATTTAAGTGGAGCTCTTTAGAATGCCAGTTCTTCAGTAGAGTTCACTTACCAGCTGACTAGAGTATAATTGACTGCCATGATAAAAAGTGTTATTGCATAATGCCAACAATAGCACATGGTGAGAAACATGACATTACTGTGATCCACTTGGTTCCATTCAGGACTTCCACTTGGAGGGTAAAGGACAAATCCAATCTGTAAAAAAAAAAAAAAGGAAAGGAAAGGGCATTAGAAATACTAGGGGTTTTGTTGGATAGCCTCTCTCCAATTATATCTGCCTCTCCAATAAGGTCTGACAGGATTGCCATGCTTAAGGTCCCATCTCTTAAACAATATCATCTTATAGGATCAGGAAGATTTGTAGAGCTGTCTGGGATGACAGCTTGTTATCAATTGTTGAATTGCCTTTGGTGGAATTTGTTTTATGTTCTGTTTATCTTTTTAGTGTTTTAGCATCACCCTGGGTTCTTTTTGAGAGGGCAGCTATATAGATTGCCATAAATAAATAAATTGGTAAGATTTCCTTTCTACCTCATATGTTAATTACTACAACTTAAGGCTGAGGTAGGCTACACTTTTGGTTAGATCCATTCTCCTACATAGTCAGCAGGGCTGAAGCATGTGGTGAGTGGAGTAAAAAAGCAAAAGTTTATGCCATTGCTTGTTTGATAAAACTTATTCTTGTTCTGATATCTACTTTTTTTTTCTGTTCTCTCACTCCCAAGAATTCTAATAAAAATCTAAATTGATCTTTTGCACAGTCCTTCAGTTAGGCTGAAGGCCTCTTGAAATGAGGTTGAGGGCTGCATATATCAAAAAGATTACAGATTAACTACCTCCATTTTAAGAATGGAGAGTTAAAACTGCTTTATATCAGCCTTTCCTACAAAGGCATTCTCTAGATCCTTGGAACTTCCCAGTAACTTCCATCATACCAGGATGATATGGGAAAGGGTGATTTAGATATGAACTCTGTTATATACTCACTATGTAGACTTGGGCAGGTCATAACCATTGCGCAGGCTAGAAGAATCTAACCACAATTCTTAACCTTTAAATAGGCTCCATATATGCTACCTAGGTTTCCATGATGATAGAAAGTTGAGATAGAAATTAAATTAAAATTCCACAATAGAATTACAGAGTGATAGCTATTCTTTCTTTCTATTCTAATATTCAAGTTAGCTATTCATTGTTATAAAAGGGAAAATATGAAATCATTTCAAAGTAAAGTAGCCCTGGGCCAAAAGAAATGCATCAAATGAAAATACTCTAATAACACTGCCAATGAATGATCAGATTATAGCATCCACAAAGGCTTCCTAAATGCTGCTAAATCCTAAAAACCTCTGTTTTCAATAAACAAGCAGATAACATAATTGTTCTATGTTTAAACTGTAACATAGATCCCAAAGTGGGTTTTCTTTAAAGCCCACTAAAATGGGCTTAATAAAATAAACCCACAATTCACGGAGAACAAACTGAAAATCCTGTTCTTATCCAAATGTGTCACATGATCCACACTGCTCTGCTGACTAAGGATCTCATTGCCTCACTGCTCTGCTGACTAAGGATCTCATCTCCCCTCCCTCTCATCTCATCTCCCCACCACCACCAAAAAAAACATGTCTCTCCAATCATTAAAAAGTTTCCCATTCCTGCCTTATTTGTTTTCTCAGACTATCTCAGAGCTACATGGAGCAGGACAGGGGAAAATGCTAGCAGCCAAGTCTCTTTTCCACTGAGGAAACAAGCAGACAGAGATAAAAGGACTGAAGCAGGCAGTGATAGAAGAACAAATGGTGGCCATCACTCTGACTGTGTACAATGCTTCAGAATGATCTCCAGTGTTATTATGCTGCAGTCATCTTAATAGATAAAGAGAAGCACAAGAAGAGGGATGAAGCAGTGAGTGTGGTGGTGTCCAGTGAGTCTTCAGCAGCTGTCTAAGGATCTCATCTGCTGATCCTGGGTCTAATCTCAAAGGTTTTTTAAAAAATGCATCAGGAAGAGAAAGAAAAATTATTCACTCACCTGCCATAACCAGCTTCCATGCAATATGCAGAGACTTGTTCGGAACATCTCAAGAATAATGCTATCAAGGAAGAAGACTTCCAAGAATATGCAGATGGCACCTCCAAAGATAATTATTAAAAGTAACTGATGAACATGAAGATCTAACATAGAACGCCCATGGATGTGGTAATAAAATAGAAATCCTGGTGAAAGGGAATGAAAATTCAGCTACTTTTTATTCTGCACATTTTGTACAAGATTGCTGTTAAAAACCTTTGGGTTTTGTGTCATGCGAACTGTGTATTTCATTCCAAAGACTCTTAGCAGGTTACAGAAAATCTTTGGAAGCTGTTATTTTCACCACAGGAGGAGCTATAAAATACAGACTGCCATGCTCATGATCTTATTTTGAATCTTTAAACAGCTGCGCATATATAGGGTGTATGCATTCAAATTTGCAGAAAGACATTGCGTTTAACTTTGTACCACATAGAAGCTGTATCATCTTTTGTTGAGTTATGATTCATTGAAACATACAATTCAACCAGAGTGCCTTAAACTCTTGCCCAACACTGAAAGAGTGTCCAAGAATCGCATCTCTTTACTTGAGACATATGCTTCAAGCAGATGCTAGGTAAGTGTGATTCAGGGCTGCTACTGCAGAAGATTTTTGGTTGTTTACATCATTAGTATGTTGAACAACAACCTTTGAGGTACCTACAAACAATGATTTTTGCTTAATCTAAATATAATTTATCCTCAGACAGTCATGATTTTGCTTAATTACCTCAAATATAATGAATTCTTAAACTCTAAGTAAAACAAATCTTCCATTTTGCACATATTGCTAATGAAGAAACAGATGCTTATTGCTTGCTTGCTTACTTGATTAATTCTTAGGGTTCATACATCCACTTTTCCCCCCTTTTTCTGTTACTGTATATCCTTTCTCATATTGATTCCATGACATGGTTACCTTAACAGATAAACTCTGTCTATTCTTTTTCATTTGGATTCAGAAAACTTTTCTACATAAACAGTGCAGTGAAATACTATAAGCTCACCTTCCACAAAAACAGCAAGTGAGAGCATCATTCGGTCTAAGGCCTCTGGTAAGGCATTTGTGCTGTGAGTCACAATGTCCACTAGCCCTGAGATGCCATAGAAGAGGTACATGGTTGCATGCTGCCAATTCATTAGGTAATTCCACTGCTTTTTTTCATAATTATACAGCTTCAGGTGAGGTCCATCAGGAACAAACTGCTCTGCTATCATACCTGGGTACAACATAACAAAGGAATATGCTGGCCTCATTCATTCATTCATTCATTCATTCATTCATTCATTCATTCATTCATTCCTATTG